CGTGTACTTTTAGAGGGAAAATTTATTAATCTGATTGGACAACTTTAATCTTTTTGTTTCAGATTGACTGGCAACATGATCAATTAATGGGAGGTCCAGTCATAAGGACCACTGTAACTTTGGAACCCTTCATGGTGTATCTTTGAAATCTAGCACACTGTTTAACAATGGATTAATCTGCTGGAGCGGTAAATTTCAGTTTATTTGAATGAAGTTTAACATAGTAAGCACGCTTATAAGTTTGGCCATAGTCATAACACGAGGACTGGGTTGTACTGTTGTGATAAGTGGTTTCCTGGTCCCCCTCTTGCCGTTTCAAACGAGAAGAGTATTACCTGGGACTGTGAAAGTTTGTGGGGCACTCCCCAGGATTGGCTACCCCAGCTTGTGTTTGATCCCTGACAAACTCTCACAATACCAGAGGGTATCATCAGGTAACCAGCCCAACTCATTGTTGCCAGGAGAACGTCTGACAAAACATGAAGGAACTTATTTACAGGAACGCAACGTCTTGAGCTTACTTAGTAATAGGAACGGAATCAAGATGAACAGACTTATTTACAGACATGCAATGGCTTGAATTAACTTAGTAACAGGAATGGAAGCAACATGAACAAAGAAACGCAACGGCTTGAACTAACTTAGTAAAAGAACGGAAGCAACACGAACAAAGTTATTTACAGAGAAGCAGTGATTTTTCACTATGACGTGTAGCTGGGGTCACTACTTGTTTTTCTTCCGCATAATGCTCTTTACCTTCTCGTAGCACCGACTGAAACCCTCCTTTTTACAGATTGCAGCTAGGCGTGCATTCACCGTGAACATCTGCCTTAGTTGTTGTTTAGGTGGACATTTTCGAAACCTACGGAACTCTCTTTCCATCGCTTGTGTATCTCGTTGATCCCAGTGCATCCGTTGATCAGATTTTAGTGATGATGATTGGTCATCAAGCCATTCTTCAACTTCAATTGCTTGGGTTGGCAAACCTTCCACCTCAAAGGGTCGTTTGCTCACTAGGTAGTTGACGAAGTTGGTTACCTGTTTTACCTTTGAGATAGAAGTAGTCATTTTCCTTAAGATTAGTGTGGTCGACATTTTATTTCGCACAGCCATCATTTGTTGTTTCTCCCCTCTCTCAATGGCAGATGAAAAGATTTCCCTAATGGCTTCTTTCTGTTTTTCTGTCAGACTTGAAACCTTGCCAGGGGAGACTGTTGGTGGGATAACATTTGTGGAGGTTTCGTCATCTTCAGACGCTAGTTGGCTTGGCCCAGGAAGATCAACGTCTGCACTTTGGTCCTCTCCTCACCACCTTTCTTTATTTGTTTCTCAGGAAGTTCTTCAGCAAGAGTTTCTTTCTTTGTTTTAGTTTCTGTTTCACTGGAGGTGACTTTCTTTATGATATTCATGGCGTGTGAGGCCGTCTCTGTCAAGTCCAACCTAAGATAACTGTTGCGAGATGACCTTTCGCTATGGCACAAGACCCTCTGGATATTCGACATCTCCTCTGGGGCATGCCTTCTCGCTGCCGTTGTTACAAACTTTCTTACAGCAGTCTGGCTTACGCGTCTGTCGGTCCTCACGCCACTTTTCTCGAAGAAAGCAGAGAATCTTTTTCCAATGGTATTTCTGTTGAATGATTGGCCGTCACTCTTAACGAAGAGGTGTTTGACATCTTTTGCAACAAAGTGTGGTCTGATCTTATTGACATAGACCTCCATGAGATCTTGCACCTCTTTATCCATGCCAAGTGGTGCTGGTCCCTCTCTAGATCGTTTATGCTTCGGGATTAACATGACCCTGTTTCCGTCCTTCTCCTGCGCTTTTTGGTAGTCTTCAAGAAGAGCATTCTCTAGCGGGCAGGTCGAGATGCCACAAGTAGCGCGAGTTTTACCAGAAGAAGATCGCGAGCATTTGTAAATTGTTGTATGGAGAGCCTTTTTCCTGCCTTGGCCTGAGTTATGGCCTTCATACCATCTATGTAGGGTTTTGATTGAGAGAGAAGGTTGATGTCTGTTTCCGTCAAGAGAGTATCGCACTCTCTGAGATGGGTCCGGTGCTGAACATCCTGGGTTTCGTTATCGATAGTTACACGCCAGCCTTTCAGGGTGTTGATGGTCCCCTTAAACACGTCCAAATCGTTGCCATGCAGCGGCGGCATTTCCTTTCTTTGGTACTTGTCGGACGTGACGAAAACGAAAAACTTTTCCAGACTGGTCAAATAGGAGGCCAACGTACCTGGTGCCTTCGTTCCCTCAGAAAGGTGTGGGCTGACCCATTTGTTCCATACGATATCTCCAAATTCCTCCCCTAGGATGGTGATGTCCTTACCGTTGGGGTCCAGCGTTTCCAAGAGCTTCTCCACCTGGCCCACGTGCTGGAGTCTATTCTCAAGCTTTTTGTAGCCCGCTGATGGGCTCTTCAGGTACTTAAAGAAACCAGAGAGCCATTGGTGGCGGTAACTCGTAAATTTTGTCGCTGAGTAATACTCCTCCTTCCTGATCTTTATGGTTGGAGCATCTTCAGAATCTTCGTCACTCTCCTCCACCTCTCCCTCTGGATGCCATTCTTCTTCTTCTTCTTCTTCTTCTTCTTCTTCTTCTTCTTCTTGTTCTTGGGTCTCTTCTATTCCTTGGGTCTCTTCTATTTCTTCATCTTCGTTGGTTTTGTGTTCACGTGGATTAGGTTGAGCAGTTAAGAATGACGGAGATATCAGCTTGGATGACGGTGCCTTGGATGGTAGAGTGAGCAGGCAGTCTAACTCTTGGATACCAGTATACCTTTCAGCCTCCTTGAGATGGACCCTATACTGGGTATGGGAGCTCTTTAACCTGTGTGCCTTTACCAGATGCTGACTAAGATAGCTGGTGATTGTGTTGCAGCCGTCTACCGGGCACCATTTTCGTAATCTCCCCGGAGTTTCCACTTCCTTCTTCCCCCTCACCTGTCTTGGCCCCCTTGTAGCCTTCCCTGCCTTCATAATCGCTGCAGCCCTCGGCACATCTTCCTCCTCGATCTGTTTACCAACATGCACTTTAAGATGACGCTTGATGTCGCCTGCTATCAT